TTACGTTTTCTGTGTCTGCGAGTTGGGCTTGGCCGCTTGGTCCGTGACATGCCCAGTATAGTTATCGTTCAAATGTATGCGCCGCAGAAGAGCCACGTCAAAACATCCGTTCTCATCACTCTCTTCGTCTCCTTGAAACCAAAATTTCCCCTTTCACCTCGGGAAAATAGGTTTTTAATTCCTAAAGTATTTGCAATTAACACTTTTAATACTCAATTACATCTTGCGCAGATTTAATCCTAAACTATTAATTTTATATGCAAAATTAGATCTGGAAATATTAAACGTTAATTCTCCGTTAGCAGCGTTAACTTTAATTAAAAAAGGAATTATGTCTTCTTGTTGAAACACACATAAACCCTAAAATAAAGTTTAGGAACGATTCCTATAGAAAACGTGATATCTGGTGAGTGGATATCAATCACGCTATCTCCATTGAGAGGATGGTGAAGACCTTTTTTGGAAACGGAAACCGTGGTCGGCGACGGGATAAAATTCCGATTCGGCGAACGCCACTGCTTGACGGTGAACCTAGTGTTCCAAACCCAAAAGAGAATGAAAAGTAAACATCTAAATTCTATTGAATCATGTTATACTGAATCACGTTTGAGTTCTGTACATTATGTATTATACAAATATGTTTTTATCTTTTAGGTCTATTGGTGAAGAAGATGTGCAAAGCCAGGTTGCAGAAGGAGTTACAGATGTTGTTGTAGAAGAAGAGATAAGTAATGCGGGTACTGAAGGAGTAAAGAATCATGGTGACGTCGAGTTACAGAATGAGAAAGAAAGTGATGAAGCAACAGTAGAGTCGGATGAATCTTCATCAGCCGAAGGATATGATTGTGAGGTTGTTGTTGAAGATAGAGCTGGATATAAGGAAACAGAGCCAAATTTGCAGTCTGGAGAGGATGCGTTCTTCAAAGTAGAAGTTGGAGAGGCTGAATTTTTTCCTCACTTCGGAGCTGCTGCACGGGAAGATGGAGATGCACATGAAGATGGAGATGTACCACATGATGCTGATGATGACAGTGGTGATGATATTTGGAATGATGATTACATTCCAGATCCTATATCACATGATGATCGTGATGAAGAAGAAGAAGGTAGGCAATTTAACTTCGGGCCTGATGACATTCTTGCGCTAGGGAAGACTTTTAATAATGCTGAGGAATTCAAGTATGCTGTTTTCAAGTACTCTCTGAAGACACAGTATGATATTAAATTCTACAAGTCATCGTCTGATCGGCTTGGTGCCCACTGCACAAAACATGAAAAAGAAAAATGTCCTTGGAGAGTATATTGTTCTTTTGAGAGAGGTAGAAACAAGTTGTTAGTGAAAGTGTTCAATGAAACTCGTATTTGTGTAAGATCAGGCTACACTAAGCTTTTGAAGAGTGGAACAATTGGGCAGCTTTTCGAAGAAAGACTTAGAATTAATCCTAAGATAAAGTCACAGGAGATGGTGGATGAGATAAAGAGAGAGTGCAATATGATTGTGTCACTGGAACAATGTCGACGAGCCAAGTCAGTGCTTTCAGCGAGAAGAAAGGCAGGACATGAAGCTCACTTTTCTCGACTTTGGGATTACCAAGAGGAGGTTATTAAATCAAATGTGGGATCAACAATGGAGATTGAGACGATTCCTGGACCAGTGCCTGGAAGCATGCAGAGATTCTATCGTCTATATGTCTGTTTTGAAGCCTTGAAATCTTCTTGGAGGCAGTCATGTAGGCCGATCATTGGATTAGATGCTGCATTTATGAAGTGGGATATAAAAGGGCAAATGCTGGCTGCAGTTGGAAGGGATGGAGATAATAGAATATTTCCTATTGCTTGGGCTGTGGTTGAAGTGGAGGACAATCCTAATTGGCTATGGTTTGTGCAACTCTTGAAAAAAGAATTGGGGCTTGAAGATGGATCAAATTGTACAATAATCTCAGACAAACATAGGGTGAGTCTTTGTTATATATATATATATATATATTTTTTTTTTTTGAATGTTGCTGGAGTAGTTTTTACTTATGGATATGCTTTACTTGGCAGGGTATACTAAATGCGGTTCATGAAGAGCTTCCTAAAGCCGAGCATAGGATGTGTGCTCGACACATTCTTGAGAATTGGAAGAAAACAAACAAAGACATACAGCTTGAGCGTCTATTCTGGAAAATAGCAAGGAGTTACACACCATCATCGTTTAGAGATAACTTAGAGGCACTGAAAAAGTACAATGTCGGAGCGTATGAGTATCTACAAAGTACTGCTCCAACAACATGGTCTCTGGCGTTCTTTAAGCTTGGATCATGTTGCAACGACAATCTAAACAACTTATCTGAGTCATTCAATAGGAGTGTTAGAGAGTCAAGGAGGAAGCCGCTTCTTGACATGTTAACAGAGGTTAGGAGAAAGACTATGGTCAGGAATGCAAAGAGAACTTTGTTAACTAATAGGTGGAATAAGAGGTTCACACCAAGAGCAGACAAGGAGATTGAGCTTAATAGGCAGAAAGCAAAAGATTGCATCAGGTATATGACCACAGGACATACACATGAAATAGAGTTTGACGGTGATGCGTACACCGTGAATATGGAGGAGAAAACTTGCGGTTGTGGCTACTGGCAGTTGAATGGACTACCTTGTATGCATGCTATGTGTGTCATTACAACAACACAGCTGAATCTTAATAATTATGTGTCAGATTACTACCTCACCTCAACATGGCGGCAACTCTATTCTACTGGTATGAAACCGGTGCAAGGCATGAAATTGTGGCAGCATTTAGGTCGGTTGCCCATTCTACCTCCTCCTTCAAGATTCAATCGTGGAAGGCCTAATACATATGCTAGGAAGAAAGGTCCTCATGAATCAGCTACTAACCCACATAAGCTAACACGACATGGTCGTGTGGGGACATGCTCAAATTGTCGCAAAGAAGGTCACAACAAGACAAGGTGTCCTAACGCCACTGCTGCTCCTCCACCTAAGCGTCCAAGAGGTCGTCCAAGGAAAACACAGGTTGTTTTTCTCATTTAACCTCTTATTTGATTGTCTTGTCATGTTAAACTTTGGATTGATTATTGTAGGGAGAGCCTTCACATTTCGGAGATAGATCTTCTCAAGCTTCTCAACCTTCTCAAGAACAAAGAGGATTTGGCTTCTCTTCCTAATTTGTATTTTCACATTTCACTTCGGATTATTTGTAAAACTTCTTAACTTAGTTTTTGTTAAAACTCATGCAAGTCTGGGATTTTTCTTGGTTCTAGCTTTAAACATGAATCATATTTTTTTACAAAACCTCAATGCTAATTTAAGTTCTTACATTTCCAAAAGAACTTCATGTTCTCATCTTAAGACCAACATTGTTCAAGGCGTTTCTTCTTAACGTTTCTGTCATCACTCTCATTTAATGATTTGTCAACTTCAGGAATTCTTGCAAAAGAACATAAGACCTGATATTATCACAGTCATGTTTATTGGAAATTTCATTGGAGTGTGTGTTTGTTCTCTGCATTTCCAATTCTATTCATGGTACAGAGGAAAAAAAACAGCTTATTGTTATTATTTTTTGTTGACATTTATGCTGAATCCAAACCTCAAAAGTGGAATACTTCTATTATCATATTCATAACACGATCAAAGACACAAAAAACACAGGTGAACCTAGAGGACAAAAATATCATGATCATTGTCTCAGACTATATTACATTCTTTCATCTTATAATAAATCATAGAGGACAGATGAAATGTTATCTCTAGATGAACAAGAAATCATCTTCTTCATCCTCAGTCACCGGAAATTGCCTATTCTCGCCGGAAGTTACGTTTATTCGCCGAGAATCGCCTTCAGCTCTTTCAAATCACTTTCAGAGTTGATTTTAGGGATTTCTAGATTTTCAAAGACTAAACCGATCCCCTTTTGAATTAGAGTTAACGCCACTAACGATAGATTAACGTTTAATTTTGTTTAGTCTGATTTTGCATAGTTAATAAGAAGATCGGGATTAAATCTACGCAAGTTAGAGTTGGGTATTAAAAGTGCTAATTGCAAATACTTCAGGAATTAAAAACCCCTTTTCCCCTTTCACCTCTTCGTTTTCTTCCCAGAAAATTCCAAATTATTTCTTATGTTTAATTGCATCAATCAATCCGTTTGAATACTACGCCTTCTCTGGTATTTGTCTTCATTCATTTCATATACATCAAAAGATGACTCAAACCGATTCTCAATATATATTTTTCTCCCTTAAAATTCTGGGTTACAAAACCTTCTGATTTGTTTGTTTTTGTTGGGTCTCCCACACCTTAGAGATTGAAAGGAGAGCACTGGTGTAAACAACAAAGAGAACGAGATAGAGAGCAACAAAGTAAGTGCCTGAGTGATCAAGACGAAGAGCGACGGAGAAGTCGAGATGAAAAGCGATGGAGAGGTCGAGATGAAGAGCCACATAGCAAGTGATAAAGAGTGTGAGATGAAAGAAACAGAAAGTACAAATAAAAGTATGAGATGAGTAATGAGAGAGCGGATGAGGTATGGAACAATCGAATCAAGGAAATATTTTAGGGAATATCAGTGAATGCTTCATCCTGTTATGCCCATGATTCATTTCTTTTATAATTAAAATAAAAATTATAATTTTTTGTTGATCACAGGGGACCTGGCGTTACGTTGATAATACTGTCATGGCTGATAAATTTGTACATACTGTGGCAAATGGTGGAGATGCACGAGATTGTACCAGGGAAGAGGCTTGACAGATATCACGAGCTTGGCCAAGAAGCTTTTGGCGAGAAGCTTGGTCTTTGGATCGTTGTGCCTCAACAGCTCATCGTGGAGGTCGGTGTCGACATCTTACATGGTCACGGGAGGAAAGTCTCTCAAGAAAGTTCATGAACTCCTCTGCTCTGATTGCAAAGACATCAGAACCACAGATTGAATCATGATCTTTGCTTCTGTCCAAAGCTTCTTGAACGATGGTCAAGCCTCGACAGCACCTCGAAAATACTCAACTTCTTGAACGTATGGGAGATGTGGCTTTTGCTTACGCAGGTCACAACGTTGTGTTGGCAGAATCTATGGTTAACTTTTCCTCTTTGTTATATTAAGTTCTAAAATGTGTTCTTTTCATTGTTCATGTGTAAGGCTGTGTGGGCGTTAGGGAATGTTGCAGGTGATTCTCCACAGTGCAGAGATGTTGTCCTAGGTCAGGGAGCTTTGTTACCGTTGCTCTTTCAGTTGAATGAGCTTGCTAAGCTCTCCATGCTGAGAAATGCTGATCTTATTCTCTCCCTTATTTGATCAAGAAAGTTTTTTTTAACATCTGTGTTTTCTCTTAATATAAGGTTTCTCCAGCACTTCCAGCCCTTGAACGCCTGATTCACTCCACTGATGAGGAAGTCTTAACAGATGCATGTTGGGCTCTCTCTTATCTTTCTGATGGCACCAACGACAAAATTCAATCTGTCATTCAGGCAGGTGTTGTTCCTCCACTTTTTGAGCTTCTCCAGTAAGTCTTTTCATTCCTGGAATTTACTTTGCTTTTGTACATGATCATCTCTTAATGAATATCAATGGATTTTGGCTTGGTCTAGGCATCCATCACCTTCTGTGCTTATTCCTGCTCTTCGTAGTATTGGTAACATCGTCACTGGAGATGATGCACAGACCCAGGCATGCTACACTTCTATAGTTTCATTCATTTATATCCAGTATGAATCTTCCACTCTTCCTAGAACTGTACTGGAAAGAATGTGACACCACTAGCTCCGCATCTGAAATTTTAACATCGTGATATATAATGACTATTGGCTGTCGAGTGTTACTTGCATAGCTTCCTGCTACTCATCACATAAATCACCTTGAGAATATTGAGGTTAACTTTCTCTAAACACTGATTTTTTTTTTGTTCAGCTTATTATTGGTTTGAGAAGGTTTTGGTTGTTTGAAGAAAGAGTTTGTGTATGTTTATCTTGCTCTAATTTTCAATGTAGGCTGTATGTGAAGCTGGTTTGATAACTTTGATTGGCGAGGACTGAGGTTCTAAAAGTGATGATGAATAAGTCCCTATTCCCATGTACTTCTACGTATATTATGAATTACTTAAAGTGATTTCTATTACTAATTAATGATCATTGACATATTTTTATATATTTTCAGATTCCAACTCAAAAACAATCCCATCACATTTACACTCTCTCTTCGTCCAAAAGACAACCATCTGATCTATGATTTCCACTTCTCACCTTTTTATATGTTCTTAATAATGACAATATCTTTCATCTGCTTCTAAACATGATTTATACCAAACTTTAATTTTATAACTGATCTATTGTATCATATGTGTTGGCATTAAATAATATAAGCTAACTATAATTTTTGTTCTCAAAATAATTCTTCTACATTTTTTTTTTTAAAAACTACCATTTACCATTCACAAAACTATAACAGCTCTTATTACATTCTTATAATAAAAAAATTGATGAAAAAACAATCTCTTTCCATTTCCATGTTAAAAAGTTTGATTAAAAATCAGTTATGCTATCTATTATATATGAAAATTTCTAATACAATGAATACAATAAATCTGTAATAAATTAGAAAGGTTTCATATAAGAAAAAACGTATAAACAATGTAATACAATAATACATAAGTGTGATTGGTAATGGTTGTAGGTGTTCTCCAGAACACCATGTATTTCTAAAGCAACAAATTCACAGCAATCAAGCTTTAATGATTTTTAGAATTTAATCTTATCTAATTAAAAAGAAAATAACCAGAAAAGAAAGAAATTAGAGGAAATACATATGAGAAAATAGAGAACAAGGAATTTATCAGAAGAAACATAAATTTATTATGTTTATTTTTATTTTAAAGTAAGATATCTATTACTAAGATATTGTGTATATATTAATTGTATTTAAAAACAGAAAATAAATAACAATTAAGATTGTATAGTTTAGTCAATTTACATAAATATATACGTCAAAAATTTTAAAATAAATAAATAAAGAAATACATTTCAGGAAAACCTTATATAAGTATTTTTTTAAAGAAAAAACTACAATTTAAAATATATAAACCGCGCGTAGCGCGGTGAATAGCTCTAGTTCTTATAAGAGTCTGTAATGTCCTACTTCTCTATGACTAATATATTAAAGCTTTTTATATTTGACTGTGTTTGCTTGCATCAAGCTGTTCCAAGCTAAATATATTTGCTTATAATTTTGAAATTTGTTTCTTGTAAAAGAAATCCAGCTTGGTTAAGTTGACACTGAATGGTCTAGATTTTGTGCCAATACTCATGTTAGCAAATGGATTACATGAAGGGAAACTTATATGAAAAAGATAAGAAGGGAAAAATAGTACATTGTATCTAGAATTCAAGCAAAGAAACATGTTGTTTTGATGTTCCCATTGTGCTTTCAGTGTCTAAATTATGAAGTAAGTGAAGAGTCCATATCAATTCTTTGGTGCTAAGATTGGTTACATCTTATGGCGTGTTTTTATGTATTTAATTATATTTGGTTAAATAGAAATTTTTGAAATTTTGTTATGATCATTATAAAATTTATGAACTCTGGACCATTTATTCTAGTTTATTTGGATTTTTGTTTACAATGTTTCAGTTTATAAAACTAATAAGAACTGAGTTTTATAAGTCCAAACTCTGTTGGAGCTAGATTCAAGTGATTTCTAAAACCTTATTAATTAGTTTATAAATATTTATAATTAAGTTATAGACTCCGGTAGATGTTTTATAAAGTATTATAAATCAATTTATCAACCCTTATGAATCAATTTATACACTCTTGTAAATAAAAATATAATCTCTTATAAAATAGTTTATAAAATTTCATAAATCAGTTCATGAACTCTTATAAGCCTTTATAAATGATATATAAGCTTTTATATATAATATATTAACTCTTGAAAATGTTTTATAAGCCCTTAAAAAATTATTTATAAATCCTTATTAATTATTTTTAAATTCTTACTATTAAACATATATCCATGATGCTTTTAAAATTTTTGGTTAAGTAATTGAATGGTTTTGTACGCCCTTATATTTTTTTATAAACTCTTACAACTCTTAAAATGATTATATAAACTCTTACAAAATGATTTATAAACTCTTATGAATTGATTTATAAACCCTTATATCTTTTTTGTAACTCTTATATATTAATTTATAAACTCTTATAAATAAAGAAGACTTATGAGTAATGTTTTAATATGATTTTTAATCCATACAGATTTTTTATTAACCCTTATAAATGATTTAATTAACCCTTAAATGATTTATAAAATCTTATAAATGGTTTATAAAAATTCTAAAAATGGTATATAAACCTTTATAATCAATTTACTAAATCTTATAAATGATAAATAAACTTTTATAAATGATTTATAAATATTTATAAATGATTTATAAATTACATATATATTCTTGATGCATTTGTTTTCTTAAATAGTTTTGTAAATCCATATAGTTTTGTTTTATAAACCCTTATAAAACTCTTATATAAACCGTTAAAAGCAGAGAGAAAGTGATACAACAAAGCAAGCGATTGTAGAGTAGAAACTTGACAAAAACGTGAGTGTGAACTTTATTCGTCTGTTCATTTTAAGAATGTATGTATACAAATGTGCAAGAAATTAGTGAAAATGTTAATGTTGAATAAAAATAAAATACAAAAAAAAAGAAAAAGAGAAGACAAAGTGTATCTAAGCAGAGCATCAACCAGGTTTTTAATAGCTGAGTTATTATCTCTGATTCCGACATTAATCGTCTGTCCTTTAGGCAAAGAAGTGGTTGGATCATGTCCAGCTTCAAGAACTACCTTCACCGTATTGGAAGAAGTGGGAAGTTTGGGAGGGAAGGTGTGGCGATTAACTTTGTAACTTGTGATGATGAGAGAATGATTTTTAATATTCAAAAATTCTACAATGTGGTTGTTGAGGAGCTTCCATCAAACGTAGCTATTCTTCTTTGAAAAAGAAGAAAAAGCAGTTACTTGGTTTGCAAGTTTCTTATTTGATTTTTTGACCTCTGTCTCTCTGAATCATCTTGAGACCATTTTTTCATTTTCTAGTATTCACCAATTCTCTAGAACATATTTCATCTCTTCCGACCAATTTTCATTTTAACTCATGCAATGTTTCTTTATTTTGAAGTTTTCGATATTAGATCGGTATCTTGCTACCATTGATACACGCATCTCTCTTTATGATAATACTCTAGCACTATATTTCATAAATTACCACTTGGATGTGTTCTGGGTTCAGCTTTGGGAAATCTTTGTTATTCAAATCGTTTTGATGTTTCCCTAACTTTTTTTTTTCAAGTTACTAACGGGTAGCTGTTTTCTTCTCCTATCTTTTTAGCTAGACGATAATATATCAGGAGAATTTCATGGTAACGATGATGGTATAGTGCCAAACTCTGCGTATGAGGGCAGTAGCAGGAAGAAACAAAGACCTGAAGATCGGGGTAGCGAAAACCACTTAAAGAGTAGTACTTTTATCAAGAGGGAGAACGATATGTTAGGAAGAAATCCCTGGTCTGAGAAAAATAGTGCCGTCTCTCCAGTTTCTCGTGACGCGGGACCAGACAAAGATGTTCAAGATATGACACTAGAGGATGCAAAGACCTCAGATGGGTTCAACCACGTCAACGTAGCTGAGAATCTCTACTCTGCAGATCCCATGTTGTGTGACAGTTCCACTTCAACAAATACTGGCGTATATAATAATTATTCCGTCAACAACATTCCAGATGCAGAAAATAATCTTAGCTTTTTGAATAGTGAAGATAAAGAAAGCAATGATCTCTTCTATGGATGGGGTGATATTGGAAATTTTGAAGATGTGGACAATATGCTTAGGTAACATTTAAAATAATCTCTTTGAGAAAAACCCATGGTGGCACATCCCTTCAAAGGAAACATACTGTACTGAGCTTACACTTATTTTTTGTGGATGCAACAGGAGCTGTGATTCAACTTTCGGGTTGGAGAGTATTGATAATGAAGATAACTTGTGTTGGTTCTCTTCTGCTCAGCCAAATGAGGATACAGAAATCGGGATGAGAGATGATATAAAACCAGACACAGTGTTGGGAAACCAAAGAACCCCTTTGTTGCAGGTTGAAGACTTTCTGAACAACAGTGAGGCCAACCATGCTGTTGAAGATGACTATGGTTATACAGCTGTCAGTGCCTCAACTCAAGGAAACTCTTCAGATAAAGAACAGTGTTCTTAAACAATGTCGATAATGTGGCAGCAAGCTGGCATTGCCATTACTATCAATGTTGATGCTACATCAACATTGCTCAAAACTGGCGTTACAGCAACAGATGATTCTTTTAAATACATTTGGTTTCAGGTTTGTCTTATTTATCTAGTGAAATCTGATCTTGCATCTAAATTGCTAAAAAAAACGTAGAAAGAAATAAGCTAGAGCATGTAGATTTTATAACTTGTTTTATAAGGCTTTATAAATGGTTTATAGACTCCTACAAATAGTTTTACATACCCTTATAAATTGTTTTATAATCCTTTATAATGTGTATAAACTTTATAAATTGTTTTTATAAACCCTTATAAATTATTTACATACCCTTATAAACCCTTACAAATTATTTTACAAACCATTATAAATTATTTTATAAGCCTTTCGAAATGGTTATAAACTCAATAAATGAATTATAAGATAGAAATAGAGAGAATGATATACGAAGTATTTCTTTCACAACTTCTTTAGTGTCATCTGCTGACTGCTTATAAATGGTTATATATTCTTATAAATAATATTATAATTTGTTTCTACACCTATATAAACCCTTATTAATAGTACATACCCCTTAAAAATTGTTTATATCCTTTTAAAAATACCAACTAACTCTAATAAATGATTTATAAAACATTTATAAATGGTTTGTAAACCTTTATAAATCTTTATAAACATTTATAAATTGTATAAATCCTAATAAAATCGTATAAGAAACCTAAGCTCATGTTCTCATAAATCTTTATAAAGATCTATAAATGTTTTATAAACTATCATAAGAATAATAAAATCATGTATGCTGAAAGACTAGCATGCAGAAAAACAATAATGGAAGCACTGAAACAAATATATTATTTGCTTTGAGGGTGATTAAAGAAACCCCTTGGATTTGCTTTTGTGAGAACACATTAGCCTACTCTACTGAATCTGCTTATGGATTGTTTAAGCAGTCAGGTAACATGACCAAGATGTTGATCCACCAAAACATATTACATAAGAAAGAAGGTAAAAGCGAAGACAGGGAAAGAGGTAGCCCACAAATCAATTTCAATGTCATCATCAGCTCCAGATACCTCCACGAGGTCTTTCACCGGATCTTGATCATATAAGAACTTCAAGAATACCACAAGAAGTTCACTGCCACGGAAGCAAACTATGTGACTACAAATATTTGGCTTCAACACCATAAACAACATAAGAAACACACATGCATACCTGTTGTATGACATAAGCTGATCATTTGGTTCTTGCATAAGATACTTTATGCTTTTGAGAATCCAGCTGAAGAAATTTGAGAACTAAAACAAAAAGACTATAATTTATTGACATGTACACTGGGTGGGAGATATGGAACAAGGTTACTCTAAAAAACTAAAACTTTTATTGTCTAAAGGGCTGCACGCCTCTGTACCTGTTGAACAACCGAAGATAGAACCATTTTCATAAATTTCTATAAACATTTATAATTAGTTTATAGATTTAATAAATTGTTTTATAAGCCTTTATAAATGGTATGGACTTACAAATAATTTTAAATATCTTTATAAATTGTTTTATAAACCTTTATAAACTTGTATAATCTTTATATATTATTTTTATATAAACATTTTTAAATTATTTACATATCCTTATCAACCCTTATAAATTATCATACAGACCATTATTTAGGTGTCATTATAAGATTTTCCTTGTTACGACATCCTTCAAATGACCGGCTCTGCATAAAAAAAAACATGGTGAAGACAATGGTGTCAAAGGTGGCGATGCATACTAATCAAGATCCAGATGGGTATAAGCACATTTTGAAAAGTATAACAGGAAGCACAGGTCCAGGTGACACCCTTGCACTAATAATGGGTCCTTCAGGTAGTGGCAAATTCACTATGTATTAGTATTCAACAGACATTATAAAATCACACAAGATAAAGTCTTAGATCATTCATCGTACGTACAGACAAGTTGCAGCAAGCAACACTCTTGTTCAATCACTTCATGTATCTGTGCAGGAATTTTCTGTGGAAGTCATTCCTTATTGTATCATTGATGAAGCGCTTAGTATTCAGTTTCTTGACGTTCATGACACCTGTAAATTATTGTTCACTATGCATTAGCAAGACATAGTTGTGCCCTTATGACAGCATAGAATTACACGAGAAAAATGAGGCACTTACCATCTGCTACACTCAACACAGCCAGTACCATCATCTATAACAAAATCCACTTGAGTGATTCTATCTGTTCTCCATCCTAGAAACTCGCCCAACAATTGCAACCTAAACACATACATCACAAAGCTCAAATGCTTAGCTCAATAGACATCAAATCTACACCAGAAACGTACTTGAAACCAAGCCCAAGATCACCAAAGTAAAGAAGCTACTAACACCAAGCTCAAGATCACCAAAGTAGAGAATCCACATATGTACATTATACTTGACTGAACTTGACTCAATAGACTTCAAACTTAACCGTTAATAGCCAAATACGCAGCAACAAAACAGCACAAGAGCTTAATATATAAACAAACAAACAAGAGTAACTGCTGAAGAAGAAGAAAAAGAGGTTACCGTGTTGATATCAACGCCATCAATGGAGAAATTCGATTCACCATTGGTTGAAACACTATTCAATTGCTTCAACGTCAGTGGAAGCAAGGTACGTGCATCCCAATTCTGCAAAACATACCAAAACTCAATACATCACCACTGATTTTCCCGAGAAACCACTGGAAACCGAAAGAATCGGATGAATCATCAATCAAGTATAGTGCACGGAAAATCAAAACGGCACAATAATAATCACAAAACGAGAAAACGATTGATCAAAACTCGATTTACAGATACGAAGCCTTGAAAGCAGAAGAGGATTCATGCGCTTGCGTAGTTGATTGAGAAGGCATGAAACTGCCGCCGGCGAAAGTGGCGTTACCGTCAAACTCGCCGTCGACTCCGAGAGCTCGTCGGGGAGCCGCAGTTTCTATTTCATGGGAGAGAGAAGATATCTTAGATTAGGGTCAATAAGTCATTTACCAATTAATGACATAGGTATTTATGAAAATGTCCCTCCTCTTAAAGTAACTGTGAATTAGTGTACCCAAGAATGTGTATTTATGCAGTTCTCCCATTTATTTTTTTCTAAAACCCATTAAAAACCCACTAACAAAACCCATTTAACATCCCTAGACCCACCGGTCTTAGACACACCGGCTCGGAGAGGGTCCCGAGCACCGTCCCTTGAAACCGTTTGTGTCTAACAAAGTCGGAGGCTATGCCTCCAAGTCTTTTCACCAATGACTGATTTCTTCTTGCCTCTTGTTTGATTTTCTGGTAGATGTTTAGATCTACTTATGTAACCTTGAATCATTTTTCCCCGGCACACCGGCCAATCTGTACTCTCTCTGATGCCCGTTTGGGTTGAAAATTAATACATATATTTTTAAGTAAAAAAAATCTTGTAATATCAAACCTTAAATTTCAATGTTCTTACTTTATATTTTATAAGTGCTTACATTTGCTTTTATATTTCTTCACTTCTCGAAACCATGAGATTGTTTTTATTGAAAAAACTATCCCTTTATATTTCGTAATTACGTTGATTAGATAAATAAATATGAAAATGAAACTTTTTCCTATCACAAATTTCCATTTATTTATTTTTTTTCACTCTCAATCAATTATTTTTGTTGCTAAAAAATTTCAGTATATTTTGTTTTGGTATGAAACATTTTCCTATATAAATCAATTTGAAACCATACGTTGCACGGATGCTTGGTCGGACATCTGCTTCTTGCTTTGGAACCAAAATCGGAACCTTGTGAAAGGTTACAAAATCTCACTTCCAAAACACTTCTAAAATATCATATTTAAAAACATGTTGGAAGCTTACGATTCTGTTTTGGAATTACGTTTCCATTTTTAAAAACACAGTGTCATAAATAAATAAAAAAGAAAATCATGTTTTATATAAAATCCAAAACTAAAGTTATTGACAAAGAGATAGAGAGAAAAGAAATATGAAATATTAACTAACATTAAAAATTATATATTTATGCACACGATTTTTGTTTATATCATATATATTCAAATATATTGTGTCAGTTATTTATGAAATATTAAAATAATTTATCGAATAAAGATTTTACAAAATAAATTATTTATATTTTCAAAATTATAATATTAAGTTATTTAAAACTAGTATAAAGGAATAAATGCTTTATTTTAATTTGAATCATATAGTTTTAGTCATATATTTTATATTTTTATACATATATATATACATGGATATATACATATATATGGATATACGCTTCCTACACGCTTTCGCTTCCTAATTTTGCAAAACATTCTCACTTCTTCACTTCCATTTGACTCTGCTTCCGTGTACCCACTTCCGATTTCATATAATATAGTTTAAGAACCCATATTTCATTTTCACGATTTATTGAATGAAAACAATAAAGATAGTTGGTATTTAATTATCAGCGGAGGGTATGCCATGTGTCGTGATTAGTGAAGAGTATAAGAAAAAAAAAATGAAGGTTTAGATTTAATTTTCAACTAGATTAAGACACGTGCCTTGCACGGGATGAGAGTAATATCACATTATCAGAATAATCTTATTTTGCGTAAAATGTAGTTCCTAACTTACAAAATAATAAAAAAATTCAAAACTTGACAATTAAAACCCGCATTACAAATTACACAAGAAAAATACATTCTTTCTATCAGTTGAATACATGTGGGATGACAGAGATTGTATAAAAGCACAATGGGTTTTGGTCATCATATCTTTTGTACATGGTCCAATCGTTTATAAATTGGGTTATGACTACAATGTTATTACGTCCGAATTGACAAACCCAATTACCTGCTAAATAATCGGGTTTGAGTTTTGAAAAATATCCATTTATTAAAAATCTGATAAAACCTATTAAAAATCTTTAAACCCGATTACCGGTTGAAACCACCGGATGAACCAGTAAATAATTTTTATTTAGTTTTAGGCATTAATAATTTTATTGAATACATTTTTTCTTCCAAATAAAAAGTTAGTTTTTACTTCTTTTTTTAAATTTCTAGTTTTCTCGTGAAATTATCGTTTCTGTTACTATCACATATACTATGTATCTCCTTTAATATTTTTTTAAATTTTTTTTTTATTTTTTCATCGTGAATAGCATTTTTTTAAACTTCTATGTTCTAACTTATATTATATGAATTATTTTTTTAATTCTCTTTGTGAATCACTTGCGTTTATCTTGTTTGTTTGATTTATATGTTTCTAAATAAATAATGTTTTGTTGTGAATCAAATTTATTAATCTTATTCAATTTTGGAAAATCATATATAAGATAGACTAAACTACTTTATTATGATATTTAAATTTTGATATATGAAGAAGATATAATGAATGATGATAGAAAAAAAAATTAACGCGATTTGGTATTAATTTATTTTTTGTTATCAGAAACTTACTGCAATCTTGATGTATACTTTTAGTTTATTTTTATTAAAAAATTATTTTATTAGTTACGTTAGGTATCTAACACTTGTGAGATTTAAATGTTGTTATGTTTTATTATATGTCATAATTCCTAAGAAAAAATTCAAAAACTTTAGGAGTTGATAAAAATTATTTTAAATAAATAAAAAATGAATAATAAAAATAAAAAGACTAAATTTAAATATTAATCTATTTATTAATAAATTTGAAATTTCCTTTATATTTTTAATATCTAATAAAAATTATATATTAAAACTAATCAGTTTGTTAAACTACGATTCGCCCGCAGTCGATCCAGTAATCTAGTGACCCATAAATTACCGGTAGTTCAAGTTTAAAACATTAATTATGAGTGTAATCATTGGAAATTTTAAAAGCCCAATTTAAACTTATTTAGTCTGAGAATCATTATGTTGTAGTTAAGACAAATTGTCTAAAAATAAAGTTATGAATTGGTTTTGACCAAGAATTTCCTTTACTAATTCATCAAATATTAGTGCATACATATATATCCTGAATCAGTGCCATATGTATCTTTATATATTCCCTAATTTGAAATATTATGATCTTTGCATTGTAGCAAGTATTGTGTGATTAATACATATCATTGGAAACTTTGGAAAATATTATTTTTTGTTGTTAAAAAATTAGGATAATGATGATAAAAAAAAGAATTAGGAAAATATTTTTATCAACTCATTTATATAATTAATGCCACAATTGGCATAGGAAGATCTTTGAATTGATAGCAACGACTTCATGTGCACTATATTGACCCTTTAGGGTGAATCTTTAGGTTCAACCAATAGGATGGTGTTATTTTATATTTGATATCTTTTTAAAAAGGAAATAAAATATTGTTAAGTTATATTATGTTTTTAAAATAAAAATACAAAATAGATAAAAAATAATAATATTAAAAAAACGAAAAAAAACTTTTTAAAAAAATATTTCACACTAAAAAACTAAACCCTAAACTCTAATCCTAAACCCTAAACCCTAATACTAAACCCTAAATCCTAATCCTAAACCATAAACCTTTGGGTAAATCATAAATCCTTTGGAAAAATCTTAACCCTTGGGTAAATTAATACTAACCAATTATACTATTTTTATTTATTTTTATCTTTTTATTTTAAACACATGTTCTTATTTTAAAGATATATTAAAATATTTTTTCTTTAAATTTTTTTTTTTGCAATTATTACTGTTTTTATTTTATTTTTCTCTTTTATTTTAAAACATAATATAATGTTAAAATATTTTTTAAAGATTTTTTTTGTTTTTCGTAAATATTACTATTTTTATTTATTTTTTTCTATTTTTATTTTAAAAACATAATATAACTTGACAAGATTTTGTTTCTTTTTTTAAAAGATATCAAATATTAAATAACACCACTCTATTGGTTGGTGAACCCTAGGGGGTGAACCCAAGAATAAGTCGACATATATTATATAAATATATTGCATATTCTTATGAGATTAACTTAGAATGCAAAACATATATTCACTTTTTTTGGAATCATATGTTAAAAGTAATTACTTTATTCCAATAGATAGTCCTTGTTACAAATTATAAACAAAAACAATACTTAATTTCGGCTTCTTGTAAATGAGTAAACTAATGAAAAGTAATTTGTTCCAAGACTGAGTCATTGAAACGTTTAACCGTGAAAATGGACCAATGTATTATATTCTAACTAATTTGTTGTTATTGAGAAGAAAAATATACATAATAATTTCACCTTCCTTGAATTATATAAAATTCTGTTCTTATGGAGTTTAATTGTGATTTATTTTGTGTTAATTTTGCTTATATCGCAACAATGCATTATATGTTATCGTTGAGGATATCATGATTCTAGATGACTAATATAATAACTATGAGGCCACGGTAAACAATATTACTGAAACTAATTTTACATCTATGATATTTTATTGTTTAAGTTTATTAATAAAGTGCTTTGTTGAACATGAGAAATTTAAGTTGTCGTTTCATAAAACAATACATATTATAAACGAAAAATGGTTAGTAGCTAAGAGTGCTTAGAAACACCACTGTAGTAGGACATGAATATTGTTCGTAGCATAAATATCATATTCGTGTGACTATTAATAGATTATATATATATGAACTCGACGGCTGAATTTATATATTATACCAATGGCATATTCTGTAAATACTCTAGTAAAGAATGGTCATTTAATTAGTTAGATTGAGAAATATTGTGTTTTTGACCAAAAGAGAGAAGTATTGTGAGAATGACACCTCAATAAATGGTATGAATGTAAATAAATATCAAAATAAAAGTTACTTTTTAAATTTGCTTCTAAGTAGAGTAGTGACAATGAAACAAGGAATAAAAAACAAGGAAAGAAAAGCATAAAATGATGGTGATTTTGTGCTTTTCTGTCACCACATATTTTCTATGTCCACGCTTTCCTCATCTATGCATCCCAGTTATTAGTATTACTAGATAATAACTCACGTCGCAGAATGATATTAATTTTATTATTTTTTGGATAAGAAGATATTATATATCTTTAATCCTATATATGACTTAATCACTCTTTTCGGGGCAGCAAATAAGTCTGGAAATTGATTAGCTAGCTTTTGTAA